TTTTTTTTTCTTTTTTTTTTAATACAAGAGGTTAGCGATGGTGACAGAGGATAGACACAATTCAGTCTCAACTTAATGTAACATGACATGACAGTACTATTTGGTTTTTTGGCCTTCAATACTGATCAAAGCCTCCATAAACTGAAAAGGTATTTTGTCTGAATTACAGAGGTTTTGCCTCAACTCAGTGTCACTTGGTGGTGAAGATTTGACAAAACTATGCTTATTATGATATATTATAGAAAGACACAGAGAGATCTGATTTTGAACATATAAAAACACCTTCAGATAGCCAAGGTAGGCAAGTCATCCCATATTTAACCCAAATATAACAAATTTATTTTTCCTTATTTGTTCCCAATACTCTATCTCTGATGGACTTCACAGATTTTCAGAAAGGAACTCTTGGTAATATTTCTGTGCACATGACACAAGAACATAAGGAATGGACAACATGCCATCTGGCACAGTATCAGCTGACAGTGACACTAAGAAATGCTTGACCAGAATCCATGACACTACTTCAAGAGACGAGGACTTGCTCTTGTGGATGTATTTGATAATTAGAAAGATAAAGATGTGGAGAGGCAGAGCAAGCAGGATGCTTTCTGGTGCTAAGAGAATTGTGCAATAAACATATTTAGTTTGAAGTAGTGACTCTTGGTCTTCCTGAATTGAGATTAATATACATGCACAAATAATTTGCTAATTGAAATATTTTATATATATTTATGTTATGTTTTTGGCATCACATTTTAAAAAGGATGTTGACAAGCTAAAATTTATTCAGCATATAGGAACCTGGATAGTTATGGGTGTGCCCATAACAAAGAACTCATAAATAACAAAGAACTCTAAGGTTTTTAGGCTAGAGGAGGAAAGCTTTGGGGAAGGGGAAAGAGTTTAGATATGGTAGTTGCATTTGGATGGTTGCAGAGATATTAAGTAATCTAGGGTATATCTATTCTGCTATGCTACAGATAGTAGGGTCCCAGGGAAGCAGATTTTGGAACAACATTTGTGTACCTCCTATCAACAATAGAACAGGTTAAGCCTACAAAACACTAAGCACCTGTACACTGGAAAAGTTTAGGCAGAAGCCAGAAGGCAAAACCTAAAGGAGGAAGTTGGGCTAGATAGCTTGTGTGCTGCTTCTCCTCCATTTTCCTCTTCCCAGGCCCTTTGCAACTGAGCTAAACCCCAGCCTTGTATGCTTTTTCTTAACCATTATGATCCCAGTATTCTGTCTTCTTTTTGTAAGGAAAGGAACTGTAAGTTCTAAGCTATTAAAGTTATTTGTTATTTCACTAAGATGTCAGTCCATATACTTTAATTTAAATAAATACATCCATAGCAGTTAGAATTAAGAGAAACAAGAAAGAGAAGAAAAAGAGGTTTCTTTATTCATTGAAGAATTTCCAGCATTTCAAAATGAAAAGAAGGTGTTATTCCACTAAGTTAAGGACAAAAATACAGTTAAGGAAGAAATTTTTAGTGTTAGAAGGGTCATTTGACAAAATCTAAGCCCTTCATTTTATACATGGAAGAAATCAAGCCCCAGACGTAATGAGTACCTTGCCAATGTCACATAAATAGTGGCGGAATTAAGCCTAGAAACCAATTTTTTTGTTGTTGTGAGTATTTGGGACCAAACCTAGGGGTACTGTATCACTGAGCTACATACCCAGACATTTTATTTTTTATTTTGAGATAAGGTCTCACCAAGTTGTCCAGGCTGGCCTTAAATTTAAAATCCCCTGCCTTAGTCTCCCAAGTAGCTAGGATTACAGAAGTGTGCCACTATGCCTGGGAATTTTAAATGTTAACACCTTACAAGCAGCTCATGTTGTAATAAGTGATGGTGGAATTACTGTCACTGTAGCACATGGAGGACAGCCTTTTCATAACAAGTTTGGAGGTAAGAAATTATAGCTGCAAATTAGCAACATATTTTCTCAACTTTTGGAAACATTTGTTTCTGATTAAAGGAATCCAAAACTTAAATGAGCTTTCTTGGGAGGTACTAATTCCTTAGTGCTATTTTCATTCAAGTCAAGGTTGCATAAGTACTTGCTGGGATGTTTCAGAAGATATTCCTGTAGGATGACCTCGTGGTTTTTAAGAGACTTCGGGTTTCTACATTTCTGTAGTCTAAAAGGTTTTTTTTAAACTTAATTTCTCTTAATTATAGATGAAGCAATTGAGAGTCAGATTACTTGTCCTAAATCACACAGCCTAATTAGTTTGGTAAGTTGTGGAATTAATATTTCTGGAGGTCAAAGATAATTCCAGTAAATATTTAGGAGTGAAAATTCAAAAAGTTCTCATGCTTTCTCCCCATTGTATTTTCTGGTTATAATCCCTGTTCCCTTCTATTCTTTCTCTCTCAGAATTCCCAACGTGTACACCAGATAACAATTTCCTCATGATTTTATTTATAGTAATTCTATGAGCCTTCTGTAGTTACTGCCTTTATAGTAATAGAAAATCACAGTTGGAATTGGCATTATAAGCCATTGGCTAGATGGCTTGGCTTAGAGGTATAAATCTTTACCTTGGTTTTGCCAATGATAACATCATTTCTCTTAGTTGGCATAAGAAAAAAAATGAGTTTTGTCTAGACAACTTGTGGGAGGAAGGGCAGCAGAAAAATTAATATAGTGAAGAAACCTGAAACACTATATATTTTTTTTCATTTTCTCATATTAATTCCATTCCCTTCTTTCCTTTCCCTTACCCCTCCCACTTCCCCTTCCCCTTTGCCCCTTT